AGCCACTGCCAGTAAGGCAGAACTACACTGGTTCACGACGGCTCAGCCCAAAGTTCCCAGGCCCGGCTCTTGTTCACAAGGGCCGTCAGCTTACTCAGATTCCAGTCAGGAGACCCCGGTCGCTATCCTGGCCAGCCTCCAAATTATTAACAGGCTGATAAATGGAATTGGCTATAGCCACACCAGGTGTCTCGTTAAGCCCGGCAGGCCCTCACCTAGCGATCTCGGTCATACAGTCTGGCTTACCCCTCATTTCCCTCCCTGTCCCCCACCACCTACTATGTCTCACTGGCCCACCCTGTTCCAATTTCCATGGAGAAAGTAATTCTCAATGGAAAGGACGTTAAACTAACATCACTACTTAACTTCACAAGACTCCCTACAGTACAAAGGTTATATTCTTGGTGACATTTCAGTAGTCCAAAGAGTGACACCCACGACTTAACAAAGCTTTCCATTCCTCTGTTTATCATTGCCTCTCGCATAGACAGCTACTTCCACTTCTCACCAGCCCTTCACCCCACACACTAGTCAGGGAGGCGGCCAGAGGGACAAGCTGGGCTGACCATATCATTTCTGGGGAAGGCTCGGGTGCACTTTGACTTTAATACTGGGGTATGCTATTTCACTACATGCAGGGTTTTGCACATATGCTCCAGAACCTACACCTAGTCCACATACGCAGCCCATCTGTCACCTAAGATACGCCCAACTAAGGTTAACATTGTTATCCTGATATACTATCTGCATTTACACCCAGCTAGGCATCTGGTAGATTCTGGTGCCGGGTTTCTCACAGGGGTTCACACGGGCCTTATCGCCATTCCCACAGGTACACTTGTATGCCCTAACCTATTATCTGCACCCATTGACCCTCTTACGGTGGTCCACAGCAGTCATACGCTGGTTACACGATCGCCTCTTTCCGGTCTTCACACTTCTCATCTTGGCGTACCATTCCCATCGAGGTAGCAATTCACTATACCCTATAATACGTCTGATCATAGACCTCTTCCGCATCGCACTCTACATCCATTCTCAGCATCAAACTCCCTCATTCCCGCTATGGAGTTCTCACTGCACTACGCAAATCGATCATGCCATACAAGCTATCACTTAGCAAGTACTCTCGAGTAAGGCTTGGTTGAGCAAGATGGACTTATCCAATGCCTTTATTCTACTATCTATTCACCCTTCACTATGGCACCTGGCCTACGTTCGGGCGGCCATCCTCGCTAACCATTTTTGTGGCTATTTTTACAGGCTGACTTGGCTGGCAGCAACCTCTCAGCTCTTTTTAGTCTGCTTTTACATTCCTGGTGTCCGCAACACAGCTGCTGATGCTCTTTAATGCTCAGTTTAAGGTCTTCTTTTAGGCACTCCCTACTACCTACTACATACCACCCAGGATACCACTTTTTCATGAGATAATCTTTGACTAAGCCCACAGTTACACCTCATACAGGTAAGCACGCTTCACGCAGTTTTACGACTACTCTATCACGCACGCCAGGGCTTTGTATATTGTTCCATATCACAAGTAGAGTTTGCTTGATTCAAGACTTTTTTAAACTATTGTACTTTTTGCCTTTTCCTCTAAACCTACAAATCAAGCATCTTATTTATACCTTCTATGCTGTCACTTCGTTTTACGTATCCAAGGTCAGCCACACACTATCAGTACTAATCCATTACTTTACGTCTAAACATTCCATTAAGGTAAGCTACATCATAGCTTCCTTCGCTGGTCTCTCTTTTTCGCAGAAGCTCTGCATCAGTGGCTTCAAGCTCTTACACCCCAGTCCACATCACTAGGTGATGGGGCCACAGGTAATCCTCAGCTTAGTTACATATATACCTCAATCAGAGTAAAAGCTCCTTACTAGCTTTCAGTACACAAGCTGTATAAACTTGCAATAAAGTGTGTTTTCTTTGAATCCTCTTTTGCCCTCTTCTACAGGCCTACTTGTATGTTGGTTTCGGCACACCTCAACCAACTTTGCTTCTCCTTCTACATTCCATTCCATTACATATTAGATAAATTCCGAGTACAAGTTGGAAGGCCATTTGGCCTGAATTTGTGGGAGGAGTTATGATCCTATATAAACCCTATCCCCCTACTTACCTTTGTTGTGCAAGCTGTTTGTCCCCACCCACCTGCACCCATCTATATTAACAATTCACCTTTGTGGGCCCTCTTCTACAGGCCTACTTGTACGTTGGTTTTGGCACACCTCAACCAACTTTGCTTCTCCTTCTACATTCCATTCCATTATGTATTAGATAAATTCCGAGCACAAATATATATACATACATATATATACATTCACCTGGGCAAGGGGAGAAGCAGGGGAGACTGGGACATGAGAAGAAGGGTAGCCTAGTGCAGAGAAAAAATGGAGATGGGGCAGAGAAAAACATATACATTTGAAATAACAGCAACTCTATTCATTACAAATATTTCTCTACTATTAGGGGTACAATTTATGGAAATGGGCTGCCAAGGGGTACTCAAGTGAAAAAAGGTTGGGAATCACTGGTCTAGAAAAACCCTGCTTGCAAGTACATTATTTATTTTTTGCTCCTCCATCTCCTCTCTATTGGTTGGAAACTTCACTTCATAATTTAACTATAAATGACATCAATATGATGTGGCTGTCCCCTAATTATAAGTGATTTTTTTTTTACTATCTCTAGATTATGATTATGATTTGGCAGATCTTGTGTCTATTTATGGGAAACAAAGCTTCTTATTTTCCTTCACCATACCACCCAACCCCCCCCCCCCCCCCAAAAAAAAAAACAGGCTTCTCCATTCCATCCCCCATTTCTAGGCACCAAGAATGTCAGTTCCCACAAGATACTCTCAATTTGAAAATTGCAAATTATTCCAATCAACCTCAATTCATACTAATTAGAGTTTGGTCTGATATGAATCTCCATGTCTATTTGTTTGTCTCTAGTTTGCTCCTGGATTCAGATGTAATATTGTCATTCACTGAATTGCAGTTGATTTAAACAGTAAGTAGATGGGCAAAAAATGTGCTTTACTTTTTTTTTACATGATTGTTTTGTTGAGTAAATAGTGCCAGTGGTTTACAGAATACTGTATGATAATTTCAGTTTGCCTTGGATATGAATTTTCTATTAAATAGCTACATCTATATATAGCTATATGGTTCAGTAGACTATATTTAAGTTGTTTTATCTTGTTTTGTGTTATATCTGGTATTTGTGCGTAATGTAGAACAGATAGGATTTCTAACAGTTACTTTAACAATGTGCACATACTGGAAATAAAAGAAGCAATCATATGACTGGAGCACTGTGAATTCAACCATCTTTCTGCTCAATTAAGATCCTCTTATTGATGAACATTCATGGGTCACAAAGTTTTATTACCACACTATGTCTTGGTGATTCTGCTTAGTTCAGTATATTACAACCACTTCATCTGAAGACATTTGAAGTTTTGGTGACATTAAATACGGCATTCAAAAGAAGATATTGTTTAACATTTTAGTAGGTATTTCTCCATTATACTAGTCAATATTTTATTTCCTTTAGTCTTATTAATTGTCAGTTTATATATTAGTGCCCCAAATGTGCAACATATAAATACACACACACACATACACACACACACACACACACACACA